CACACCACCTACGTGTCTCCAGGAATACTGCTAAATAACAAGCACTAAATGTTTAGTCATTTCCTGCATCACGTTTGCAGGAGTCAGTAGCTCCGCGCTATTAGCATATGTAAGTGCACTGCAGTTCAAACAGTTGGTTTCCATATCAGCAGCTGCTCGCCTTAATCTCCTTTTGGGAAAGGTGCCACGGGGAGCACTGCAGCGTGCCGCAGGTTAACGTTTCTGCAGAATTCCCAGCGAAGGGCTGCTGCTGCTGCTCCAAAATCGGGCTGCCCCCTCCGCGGCGTGCCCGGGGAGAAGCTGCCTGCCAAAGCTAACGGCGTGGCTCTATCCCTCTCTGCAGCAGAGCCTTCGGGGAGTTTTGGTTTTCTATTTTATCCATCCTGTAAGCGTAAGGGCTGGGCGGCAGCGAGGCTGGCGGGGACTCGCACAGGCTCCCCCGACCCGCTCTCGCCTCCTCCTGCAGGGAGCTGGGGTGGGCCGGGTGGCCCCACACCGCTCACCTGCATGGAAAATGAAGATTTGCAGAGAGGTCGGGAGCTCCTGCGCTGCCCTTTCAGCTGGTGCCAGAGCAGGTTTCTGTCCAAGGAACTGAGGGCTCGACGCTCGCGCTTTTTTCAGCGCCTGCCTTCAAAATGGTGCCTGCTTCGCGCTTGAAGTTCATGGGAACAGATGGTGAGATCTCAGAGACATTAGTTAAAAGCTATAGGGTGTTTTTCACCATGTGTTGCTGGTTTCCCTCCTAAAAAAAAATTCTGTGTGAGAGCCCTCGAACATGACAGGCCAAATCTGACCGTCTGTTAAGTTTGCTTTATATAACGTGCGAGTGCCACGGAGCGGCCTTGGAAACGTCAGAGCCCGGCGCTGGGAGCCACGGGTGCTGCCCCCAGCGCCGGGCTGGTCCCGAGCCAAGAAGCATCCCGCTGCAGAGACTTGGTTTTGGGTGCAGAGTGGAGCAAATCTGCCCCAAGGAGCTTTAATAAGGGCTGCGTGGGGGAGCGGGGATTGGTGTGCGCGTTCGGGGCATAGTAAGGGCTCATGAAATAGCGTGCGCCTCCTGTGCAGCCCACCAGCACTTTCAGACTCATTTAGCAGAGAGAACAAGCAGAAATCTCACAACTCGAGTAAGAGCATATGCTCTGGGAGACCTCGCTACATTGCATAAGCCTTCCCATTAAAGGATCTGGCTTTGTGAGCACAGCACATGAGTCAACAGCACAGCTAGACTTGTAACGTGGGAGTCACACCTACTCTTGGCTGCAGAATTATCCAGAGAAACAGAAGGTTAATAGGAACAAAATAAAGACTAAGGAACCCTTAAAGGTTAGCTGCAGGATTTTATTCAATTGGCAAGAGGGGAAAGAAAGAAATGAAATGGGTCAAGCCGAGGGAGGGAGAGTAGGGTAATGAAAAGCCATGTTCGTCTGTCTCCTATGCAAAGACAGGTCAGTTTAGATCAGTAAAAATGTGATCAATAAAACATTTTTTTTTCCATATTAGCTAGTTCTGGAGAGGGTCATTATTGATTACAGAAAGAAAAAGTCACTTGACTGATGAGCAAGTGAGTGGAGCGAGCTCCAGGATGCTCAAGAAATCCTAACAGTGCCTGCACGCAGTGCGGCAATGCCTCCCCAAAACGAGTAAATACAGGCAAAAACCAGCACTCAGCGAGAGCAGTATCACGTTCCTTGGCTTTGCTTCTGCCTTTAAGTCCTGATTTTGTGTTGAAGCATTTTGGAAATACACCCAAACAGGGAGGACGTCTGTCTGTGGCACTTGCAAAGCCTGCATGTCCCTGGTCCCCTGGACTTCAGTGCACGGGTGCGGGCTGGGCAAGGCGAGGTGGGAGCAGGAGCATCCCTGGTGTATGATCGCCCACCATGGAGCTCCTCGCCTTGTGAAAGAGTTCAGAGGGTTGTGTTTCGCCTGCAGGATGTCATCCTGGTTCTTCCTCCTAGGGCTTCGTGTGGCCCAACCTGGCATCAGTCATGGTGTGGGGTTGCCTGCCTAAGAGCCACCCCAGCGCCTGGAGGGGGCTCTCAGACAGATGGTTTTACTGTTCAGGTCGCTCTGCGTGGTGCCAGGAGTTGGGCTCGACGATCCTCGTGGGTCCCTTCCAGCTTGGGATATTCTGCAAAGCTGCGATTCTGTGACTCAGGCCCAAATCTGTGCTGTAAAAACCAGGGATAACCGGGAGGGGAGTGAGAAAACCTTGATAGCTCCGAGCTTCTGACCAGAGCACATAGAGGAGCCCCACGCTGGGCTGCCCTCGTGTTGCTTTTGTTATTGCATTGGGCTCTTGGCTCCCCTCCGCGTGTACCAAGGTCTCAGAGCAGCGTGTCCGTGGGGGAGGCGTTGGGCAACACAGGCGGTGTTTCATCCCTCGCTCTCAGTGCTCTTGCGGAGGGAGAGATCGTCTTGTGATCAAAGCACAAGACCAGCAGTCAGACGATGTGGGTTACGGCAAGGTTTGATTTGCCAATGTCAGCTCGCAGTCCTGGCACCTCCGAAGGCAGGGGCTGTCAGGGAGCCTGAAGCTTGCCTGCTGCACGGAGCGAGTTTGGGGGTTCTTGTGCCTCTTGTGGAATGAGGAACTGCCTGGCAGGCCTAGCAAGATAATGTATCAGTTTTTGGGGCGAGGAACACTTGGTGTCCTTAGCCTGAAGCTTTACAAATGGCCTGAAGGCCTGATGTGTGCCGGGCAAGGGGTAGAGGAGGGGGAAGATGGAGAAGGTCCATCCGGGTTGTCTGCACGTGCACCCCAAGCGAGAGGGCACCTGCAGAGTGCAGGTTTATGGTCTTGCCATAAAACCCTGTGAATGAGGCAGTGAAAATCCAAACTCAGCCCTGAAGATCAACAGATCTCCTCCCTAAGGCACACGTCCTGATCCTGTGCCATCGGGTCCTGCGGGGACCGGGGAGCCACGTGCCGGTGCTCTGGGCACAGCAGGGAAGGGGGCAGCGCATCTGACCGAGCTTCTGCATCCCCTGCACGGCACCGGGGCAGGAGGACGGCTGCCCAGATCCCTGTGTTGGCTCCGGGGGGTAATAGGACTTCTGTGGGTGAAGCTGAGTGTCTCGGGGAGCCCAGCTGGCAGATTAGGGGGCAGGTCCCTGGGGGGAGCTGAACCCAGCGTTTCCGCACACTGCCGATCGCGGCTCTCCGGCTGCACCGTTTGGCAAGGAGCTGTAGCAGCCTTCAAGAGCCGGAGCTAGATCCCCGCCTTCCCGCCAGCAGCTGCGATGGGTCCTGGCACAGGAGGCTGCTCAGTTTTTCCTAAATCTGGCTGAGCAGTCTCCCGGGAAATGGGAGTCAGCTTGCTTGCCATCCCGCCCGCATCAGTCCAAGAGCAGCAGGTGGGGAGTCGAAGTCCCTCCTGAGCTGAAGACAGAGAGAGGAGCTTTTATCCTCAAACATACGCATTTTGAAAATTTCATGGGGAAAAAAAAAAAAAGAAAAAAAGAAAAAAAAAAGTTTTCTCATGGAAAAAAGAATTAGTAGATTGAATTGGCTCCTCTGTGTACAACAGGGTAAAATTTGAGGAGGTGCAAAAAGAGAAAGGAGGGAGAAATCCCTGCTCAGAAGGCCCCGTGGGGCTTCAGGTGGAAGAAAGGGCTCCTGCCATGGAGGTTTAGGGAAACGCCAGCCTTGCCAGCAAGGAGCTCAGCCGAAAGCCTTCAGCCCTGGCCCTGCAGAGGGCTTTGGGGCCAGCCCCGATGCCAGTGGCCCTGCCTGTGCCGTGGCAGCCCCGCATTGGGCTTCGGGCACCCGCCCTGCTGCCGCCCGTGGGAAACCCGCGCGGCTCCAAACCACGGGTCTTGTGATGATTATTATTATTTTGTTTTAATTCTTATTATTTCAGTCCCATGATTTTGTTTTCACTGTTTCTAATTCTTCGCCTTGGGGAAGGGAGGCAGGGAACAGCGCAAGGTTTGTACTGCTGTGGTTTTTTTGGGTGTTGTGGGCCACAATCTGAATTTTAACTGACAAGGCATTGCCATCCAGACTGCGGGAGGCAGATGTAGCGATAAACGGCGGTAATGCAGCTTTGGAGGAGCTGTGTTTGCAGCACAACCAGCGGTTTCACTTCGTTTCACCATTTCACTTCTTTCCTTCTCTTTATCCAAGCAGTGAAAATCAATCAATCATCAGTCTCCCAGCAGAAATCGCGGCATTGTGCTCACTTCAGGGCAGTTGCTAGGACATCTTGGTGGAGCGCAAGAATGTGCTTGGCCAATGGCAGGTAAAGATTAAATCCTGCACCATGCTGAGTTGTCAGAACTGGAGGGATTACATTATTTCTAGGTAATTTAAATGGCTCCGAGAGATAGAGTTTTAAACTTGCGTGGTATTTTTCCCTCTAAAAAGTCCCAGAGCACTTCCCTGGCAGATTGGGATGGAGAAACTGTCCCCAGAGATAAAATACGACAACTGAGTGATAGCACCCGCAGTAAAGTAAAGCAAAGCCTTGTTTGAATGCCAGGGGAGGGGGCATCCAGGCAGACGTACGTATATGTGCCCACACCACACGCCCTCGTGAGCAAGGCACGAAGAAGAGTTCAGCTTTGGGGTCTGCATGAAGGTGAGCTCAGGGTGGGCTCCTGTGTGCCGGCCCCACTGCCCACCTCCCCATCCCGATCCCCCATCCCATCCCCTCCGCCCTGCCACGTCCCCTGCTCTGAGTCACCGGCCCTGCAGCTGCGCTCGCTGCGTGGCCTGCGTCAGGCCCCGGGGTTTTCCGCGCCTTGCAATCAGAAAGAAATCAGCTGGGGCTGCGGTGGTGGGGGATCGGGATGGTGAGTGTCCCGTTGGCGACGTGGCCGTGCTCCCACCTCCGCTGCAGCCTCCTGTGTCCTCGTGCCCCCCTGGCAGGATGGGGTGGCAGCATCACCACCCCTCAGGTGGTGGGGGAACGCTGTTACCCTCAGCTAAGCAGCACAGACCCCTCTGAGTGCCATCGTTATCCCTAATTTAACACAGGCTGGGTTGTGCTTAAAGAGCACGAGCGAGGCCTGGGTGAGCCTGCAGCCCCAGCACACCACAGCTTGTCTCCTGAAAGTTTCTTCACCGCTTTTCTCAGGAACACGCAGAATGGAAATAGGAGCTCCTGCCAGGGAATTTCCACCCCGAGTCGGTAACGTTTGAGCTGTGCGAATGAGATGCCAAAAGAGTTGATTTTTCTTTTATTTTTCTGGAAAGTTGGCCCTGTAGGGGTGTGGTGTGGTTGCGGGTGTGGTGGCACTGGTGCTGCACCGAGCTGGGCTCCTCAATGCTGCTCGGGGGGGGAAAAAAATATGGCAAGGGGTGTCCCTGGAGATGTCAGGGCACCCCTTCAGCACCAAGCATGATGAGTTTTGGAGCTGCTTTCTGGTGGAGACAGCTCTCAGAGCTTTCCTTGCAAGCAGGGAGGCAACATCCATATTTTAAAAGCTCACAGCAAACCGAAAACTACAGCTCTCCCACTGAGTTTCTGAGGAAGTGACTCTCAGCTGCAAACAGCTCTGCCTCCGAAGCGCACGAGTGGCGTGGAGGAGGTCAGGGCTGCCAGCTGCGGCGGGGCCGCTGCTCGGTGTGCTGACACACTCCTCACAGGGCCTCGCTGGCAGGCTGGAGGTGGCTGCACGACGGAAGACGGGGCTAAATAAAGGTCTGCCACCTCCGTAATTCCGGCAGCTGAATTTCAGCACGGTATCTAGTCACAACGTGACATATCTGCTCGCATTGAGGAGCCAGCCCCAAACCTCTCTAATTTTGGCAGTGCTGGGCGGCAGCCAAAATGATTAATGGAGCGATCTCTGCTAAGGTGGGTTGTTCCCGAGGTAGCCTGCCGCAGATCTTCCCTGCACCTATCTGTGCAGATCATCTGCAGCAAGCCCTGGCTCTGGTTAGCTGACATTAATGTAATTTATTTCAAAAACCTGGCTTCGGGAGGTGCCTTTTGCAGTGAATTTGCATCTGCAGGATGGAAATCCACGCAGTGGTGGGGCCCCAGCATCGGGCTGTCCTGGCACTGTGGTTTCCAGTGAAACTGGGGCTGGGGCACCCCGGCAGCTCCTCACTGCTGGCTGGGAGCCCAGTGAGCACTCCCCTGGGATGCCTGTCAAAACCAGTGTAGTGTTTTTAAAGAGTGGCCAAAATCGAAGGGCTTCAGCCAGCTGTTTGTGCCATTATTTTATTTATTTTTCCTTTTGTGTGCTGCTCCCAGTTGCCCTCATCTCAGTGAGACCGGGGAGAGGAGCGATGTCCCAGCACCTCCTTGGGAGGTGCAGAGACCCTGTGCGAGGAGATGAGGGAAGGGGTAGCACAGCTGTGCCCCCATGGTGGTACAAAAAGGGATTTGGGGAGGTTTAATGGTGGTACAAAAGGGATTTGGGGAGGTTTAGTGGTGTCTTGGAGTGAGGTCTGAGCCAAAGCTGCTGGCCTGGGTCATTGTCCATGTTATGGCTGAGGTCTAACTTGGGCCTCCCAGCCCCGCAGGGTGCCCCCGCCTGCCCTGGCCGAGCTGTAAGGTGTCCTCGGGAAGTTTTGGGGTACCCAGTGCCTCGCCAAAGGGCTGCAGTATGTCACAGCTCAGCCCTGGGGCCCTCTCAGCACCGCAGAGCTCACCCGATGGCAGGCTTTGAAGGGCAAATGTCCAGGCACAAATGGTAGGGTGGTGGAGAACGGGGCAGAGGGAGCCCCAGGGCAGGAGCTGGGGCAGAGCTGCAGGGACCTGGACTTCATCCTGGAAGGGCTCGGGAGGGGACATCTGGCTCTCCAGGAGAACCAGGGGGTGCTGCTGGGTGTCAGGAGAAGCAGGAGAGGCCCGGCCGCCTGGGCGAAGGTCTCCGAGGGGTGCTTCCAAGGAGGACTTCCCCCGGGAGGAAGAGAGAGAAGGGCCTGGAGAAGATCCAAGCCCTCTTCTGAGAAAGAGGGTGAGGCCAGACAGGGTTGGTTCGGGACTTTGTTTGGGTGTGCTTGGAACTGCGTGGAGCTGGGGAAGCACCGGGAGCGGGAGGATGAAGATAAGCTGCGGGCTGCGGTGCTGGATGGAGCCGGGCCCCGGGCTGCTGGCGGGGGTGAATCACCCACCCACACCTGCAGAAAGCACCTTGCTGCCTGGATTTGCAGCTATCTCTGCTGAACTGTTGGTTTTTTTTCTTGATGTAAATAGGAAATGACTTCTGCAGCTGAGCCTTTGTGGGCACAGGGCTATAAAAGGCACTGCCATTTTACATACCACATCTCCGCCTGAGAGAGAGGAAGGAGGCTCTGCTATTACAGCGACAGAGTTAATACGCAAATATATGTGGCTCCATAGGGCTTGAATATCTTCTGGAAGCAAAATAGTTATGAGGGCTGAGTCCTTCGCCTGCTCTGCATGACTTAAAAAAAATAATAAAGTTGTTTTTATTTCACGCAGGGAGTCCCAGAGCCCAGCTGTTTCCACGTAAGGCTGCAGCTTGTGAGGACCGAGCATTGCCCCCGGGCCTGGACGCAGCCAGGTTTTCTTCCAGGTTTCTGTCTGGGCTTGTGCTTGCCAGGGGAGGCTCGGGAAGGCTGTGGCCCGTAGCCCCTCGGTGCAGAGGGCAGTGCTGAGGATGGCAGGGGTTGCTCGAGGCCCCGCGGTGCTCGCCGCTGGCTGTGGGAGGTCGCTGGTGGCGTCCTGCTGCGCCCATGGGCGAGGGCCTCGCGGCCGTCAGGGTGCATCACCGGGGGGTGATTCAGCAGCTTTCTAGAAACGCCAGGGCCTAAAAGAAGCGAAGAAGGAAGTTTTCCTTCTGTGTCTCATTGTGTGTTAAGAAATAAGGCAGCTTGGGCTGTCCCTTTTAGGGAAAAGGGAAATTTGGCACAAAAAAGCCCCTCCCTACCTCCACACATCTCCCCACCGCATGCCTCCGCTTTGCTATTCACTTGTTTTGACATAAAGTACTTTCCCCGAAAGATATTAGTCACAACTTTGGCTTCCACCAGCCAACTCTTCACCTTCCTCAGAACAGCCTGGAGCGGTGAGGTTGGTGGGTGCGATGGCGCCGGGGCGGGGGCTGCGTTTAGCACCCGTGGGAGGCTCCGCGCCGAGGGTCGGGAGCCCCAAATCTGCCGCCTGCGGGGCCGGCACAGGCTGCGAGAGGGGACCTAGGGGATGTGCCAGCAGGAGAGAGGGGCTCAGGCTGCCCCCTTGAAGATGACAAGGTGTGAGGACACAAAGCTGGGACACCAGCGAGTAGCGTCATGGGGATGCTTACGTTAGCTTTGCCCAAAAAGGCTGGAGCGGTGGCTACAGCACAATGTTGACTAATCCATGCTGATGGGTGTCAGATTGGAATTATCTGCCCCAAATCCTGTTTTCTAGCAGGAACTGCCTTCCCAAGCAGCTCAGCACCAAGGGGAGGAAAACCAGAAAGCGGCGCGTTGGATCAGCTGCGTGCTCCCGAGGGTTCCTGTGAAGGCAGGAGCTCTCGCTTCTCGTGTTTACTTCAACACAGCCCTAAAATATTCCCAGCCCATAGCAGATGCACACATGAGCAAGCTTGTAGTCGCTGTGGGATGGAGGAGGCAATGAGCCCTGTCATCCCCTACCCTTCCTCAAGTAATTATCGCGCGCTACGCGCCCTAATGAGAACTGCTCCATTTTCCTATCCTTCCACTCCGCTGCTCCTTCCTCACGGCTGCTGCTCAGAGGTCTCCTTCATAAAGCTGATCTGGCAAAGGGGTTATATTTTATTTTTAAAAAGATAAATCATTGGAAATCCGCAGTGTAGCTGTGCATTATCATGCCCATGACCTGCTAATTGGGTAACAGGTCTGTGAGGATGGTGGTGCAGGATGAGGGGCAGAGCACAGCGAGGATGGCAGCAGGACAGGGAGCCTCCAACAAGGGCTTCCATGGGATGCTGACAGAAATAGGGAAGCAACAAGTCCCTGCAGCCATGTGAGACTGAAGGAAAGCGAGCAGGTACTGCTAACACAAAGCCCTCTGTGAAACAAACCCAGGCTGTGGGCAGGATGCCTGTGGAGAGAGGGATGGGGGCAGCTCGGGGAGGTGGTGCTGCACTGGGTAGCGGGGCAGGGCAGGCTGGGGTTAAAGCATCTGGTGCAGATGTTCTGTCCCCAGGCTGTGCACAGCACTTGGTGGGTCTCAGGCACTTTATGCCTATAGATAGAAGTGATTTATCTTGGCCCCCCTCTCCCCAAAAGAAACAGCTCAGGAAGGAAGCAACAAACTCCATCCCTCTGCCAGGGATGCTCCCTGCTCAGGAGTGCTTTTTGTGGCTCTCTGGTGCAGGCAGGTCTGCAGGAGGCAGAGGAGAGGCGTGCTCTGCATGCGAGGCCCTTCAGCCTGCGACCACAGCTCAGCCCAGCCCCTGATGGACCTCTCCTGCTCCAAACCCTGCGGAGAAGCAGGTCAGTGCACGCAGACGGCTCCTCGAGCACAACTCGGGGTGCTGAGCCACACCTGTAGAGAAAAGGGGCTTCCACGTAGCTGGGTCTGAAGGCTCCCAGCAGCTCGGTGCCTGCATCCTGCAGAATCTGCCTTCCTGCAGCAGGAGAACCGCCTGGCTGCTGGGGCTGCTGCCAGTCAGGCAACTGCTGATTTCCACCCCCTGCATCCCATTCCCAGGGCTGCATCTCCCAAATCTGCTCTGCCACGGCTGTGAGTCGGTGCCAGAAGAGCTGAGAACAGGCAAACCTGGGATAAGCACTGGGAAAAAGGGACTGGTGAGGCTGGGAAGGGGCTGCCTTCTCAGAAATGCTGCAAGCCCAGCCCCAAATCCCTCTTGCTCCTGCAGCTGCACACAGAGCTGTGGGCTTCCCCTCTGTAACTGCGAAGGAGAATGCAGTGCTGTGGGACCTGTGGGCGAGCTGGGGTCTGGTGGCTTCAGCCAACAATGTGGCTGGCTCAGGGATTCCGGGGAAAACTCAAAAACCCTGAAAAGCTGGGAAACAGGAATGCAGAGCAGGGCGAGAGAAAATGAGACAAAGTCATCGCTTCCCAAAACCTTCACAGTGAAGGAAACACCTCCCACTGTCTGGAGGATCCATGGGAATATTATAATATTTGTTCCAAAAACATGACTGGGTGGATCCAGAATTACTGACGCAGGCACAGGCAGCTAATTGAATTCATACGTAGGAACCCTGGACACCATCTGGCCTCAATAAAACGTGGGTCCGTAGCTGCTTCGTAGCAGATGGTTCTTCATTTTCATAATCTTAAATCAAAAGATCATCTTTATATCTGGAGATCAAAGGCACCTAGTGTCTCTCTGGTCAAGGTTTATAAAGCGAAACCTCTCTCTGTCTTGGCTGACGTGAGAGTCAGACAGGGTTTTCCCCTGGAACATTTGCCGAGGGTCCAGGCAGTGACATCTGGGCAGCAGCTGCAGATGCGCTCAGCTCCTCAGGGCAGGGACTTGGTTTTCATTCTGCAGTCATGCAGTTCATAAAATCAGAAGGGACAGTCATAATTTTCTTGTGTGGCCATTTCTGTTTCCCCACGTTACCGGGATGTATCCCCCGTGATTTATTTATTTTTTTAATGATGAAATTATTCTTTCTTCCCTTAGAAAAAACCGCTCAGAGCGTTGCCTGACCCGCGGGCTGTTTGTCCCTGTGCCAAGCCCCACCGCGTGGCCGTGCCAGGCCAGCCCTGTGCCCCTGCTCCCCTGGGAGAGGAACCTGGCCAGGATCACAGCAAGCCCCCTGCTCGGCTCCAGGTGTGTGCAGGTGGGGAGCACTTGGCAGCAACTGGGGAGAGGGGAGAATAAGAATACCTAAGAATAAGGTGTGTGGTTTTTGGAGCACCCTGGGTACGGGTTGTAACAAATGGAGCCCTGCAGCCTGCTTGTGACCCTCCTTTGGACTGTGGCTGTCTGCTCGCTGGTGCTCGGCTCTCATCAGCTGGGAGGTGCAGGGAAACTGCCTCTGTTCCGTGCCGGGGCTCTTTGCACATCAAACGCCGCTGCCTGTGGTTGATGTTTGTGCCACGAGCAGCAGGCATCTCCGAGGGGGCCGAGGAGGAGAGAGCCAGCATTTCCCTGCCATTGTGTGGGTTTCGCCTGCAAACCTCACCGCCCCGTCTGGGAGGTGGCAGCGATCCTCCCAGCAGACAGCAGGGTCCCACCTCGGTTCCTCTTCACCTGGAGATGAAAGTGCTCTGGCTGCCCGTGTAGGCGGGGCAAAACTAGTTAAAAACCTCATTAGAGAAAGTATTTGGGGAAGACAGCAACACCCTCAGTTGTGGTTTGCTCCAGTGCTTCTCAGCCAGATCGCTTCTGATACAGAGGGAAGGGCACCCCGAGACACATTCCTGTCAGCTGCTTCTCCTCTCGGCGTGCGTTCGGGGCGCTTCGCCCTGCTCCAGCCCCAGGCTGGCTGCAGGAGGCTTCTGTGGTGTGGGGTGGTCCTGGGTTGGGCTGGAGGAAAGCAAGAGTGTGTGTAATCTTGATTCGGCACAAATCCACCGTGAATATTTCCTATTTTGCTTAATTCCCATTCGTGCTTACTCCAGCTGCACTTGCAGCAGGAGGAATGCCCGGCCCGCTGTCTGGCTCATGATACGCAGGGGATCGGAGCAGGCAGGTGGGGAGGAGGCAGGTCTGCGCTCAGCGTTTGGGCTTTTCAGTTAGAGAGTGACTGGTTGTGCTCTGCCACGGCTGATCCAGGCCTCCCCAGAGCTCAGCCACGTTCCCATCCAAGTGCTGTAAGGCCACACAGCCCCAAACCTCCTGTGCACGGTGTGTCCAGGTGCTGCTGCTGGGCACCTGCGCTACCTTTACCTCCTGCATTTATTTGCACAAGGATTTAACTTCATCAAAAGGGTCAAATGCTCACTGACAACCAGTGTGCTCAGATTCTTGTGGTCCTTTTCCCTCTCCCAATGGAGGAGCCACGTGCACCCTGCTGCCGAGCAGGTGCCCTGGGTGTGATGCTCCTGCCCTGCGGTGTGCAGGCTGGGCTCAGCGAGCCCACCCGCTGCACCTGGGCTCACTCAGCCTTTATCCCCAGCAAGGGGGCTGGCAGTAGTCCCTGCCAAGCTGGGCCATGTCCCCGTGTGCCACCCTTGTCCTTCACTTCTGCCACGAGCTGCTGGGACCATCTCTGTGCCTGCCAGCTGTGACACTTGTGCTTGGAGCTGCGTCCCCCTGGACTGACCAGGAGTTGCCTTCTGTGCCATCAGCAGCACATGGATCGCACAGACCTCATCTGTGGGGCCAAGGTTTAAGCCACCCGTGTCCTGACACGAACCAGAAGGACAACGCTCCGCAACGCTCCCACTCCCTTCTTGTGCCTGCTTGGTTTTTATCTTTTATTGTTTTTTGGGGGAAATCTTTTAAATCCAGTTAGCAGGCTGGGAACGCTTTTAATGTAACTGACTCAGAGGAAATGCATCGTGGCCCTGCAGCTGCTGTTCCCCACATCCCACAGACAGAACAAAATCTACCCAGACGCCGAGCTCCCGCGGTATTGATTCTTACCGGGGTGCATGGATGCCAGTGACAAATAAATAATGCTGCAGTTGAAAGGTGTGGCGTTTCCTAAGCCAGAGATTTGAAAGCGCCTCGCTTTGCTTTGCATACCTGCAGAGCACCGTGCTTTCTGCTTTTCAGATATGAAAGCTGAGGCACGGAGACATCTGATGAGGCTCCGCCGCTGACTCACTGTTTGATGTTAGGCAGAGCTGCGAGCGTGATCAGATAGCATTGTGCAGAGCGCTCACCAGACGGCTGTGTCACCGCGAGGAAAAGCAGCGCCCGGGCACGACGGCGTCTGCACCCGCAGCTGTCCCCCCAGTGCCCCGCAGTGACCCTTGGGGCCGGTGACCGGGGACGTGGTGACCTTGCCCTGTCCCCCCCCAGTCCTACTGGGCAGAGGGGTGCGTGGCCGAGCCCCAGAGTCCCTCTTGCAGTGGTGGCTGCAGACGGGGCTCGAGGCGGTGCCGCTGCTGGGCCAGGCGGTGCCGCGGAGGCGCGCGGGTGTGCGGAGCGTGCCGAGGGCTCGTTCTCACGCGATGGGGCAGGCAGCCGGCGGGGAGCTGGGTAAGCAGTGTGAGTGCCCTGGCTGCCTGGGCTTGGCTCGCAGCGTTGGGGCAGGGCAGGCTGTCACGGCGAGGCAGGGATGTTTTATTAAACAGAGTCTCAAAGTGGGCTAAAGTCTCTTATTATGAATTGTAATGTCCACAAATTTTGCCACTTCCAAATAGTTTCCACCTACGGATTCCTCCCACTGCTGCACTCGGTGCTGGCAAGCGTCTCCGCGCACGGAGGAGAACGGCTTTCATTTGAATAGTCCGCAGGCAAGTTTCGCTGAGCGCTGCCAGCGTCCTGCCCGCAGCACGCACGTGCCCAGCAGCCACCCGCTGCCATTTGCTTGCCCAGGACGCCACGGGGAGAGCAGCCCTCGCTGGATTTTCCCAGCGTTTTGTCCAAACACGGTCCGTGGTAGCCCGAAACGATGTCATGAAACACGAAATCTCAACTCCTAACTCGCGGGCGATTCCTTTCATCGCACGAGGCAGCGCGGCCAGCTGTGCTGCTGAGACAGTGAGTCAGACACGCACCGGGCTGAAACCACGGCGCTTCACCAAGTCAAGCTTTTGCAACTACCTGCAGGCTACCAGAGGAAGAAGGCAGAGCCCTGGCGGATGACAAACTCTTCCTCACATCCTGCGCTGCTAAGTCACGCTGTGCCCCTTTGGCCCCTCCGGCTGCAGCAGGAGGGGAACCCCCCGGGGGGCTGCAGACCCCAGGGCGTGCGCTGCGTGGGCTGGGAGCAGGGCTGTGCAGCTCAGCCCATGGGTTGGCCGTGTCCCGTGGCTGGCAGTGCCCCGATGCCCCCCCTGCCTGCTCGTGCTGGTGGCTGGGGACGTGCCAGGCTGGGCACGAGGGCTGCCTGCAGGCAGCGTGGCTCCCGGCGCGCTTCTCCTCCTGCAGAGCACTGGGAATAACCAGGCGGGCGCTGGGGATGCCTGGTGGGTGCCGGCAGCGAAGCGCCACCACGCAGCGCCTCCTGCCCGCCTGCCCTTCGCTTCCAGCCCAGGCCACGGCTGTCCTCTAACCTCCGGTGCCAGTAACCTGAGCTGGGATTGCTGGAAATGAGAGGGAAGGAGAGCCGGCTATTTGATTACAGGCCACAGGCACATGCCTGGCCTTCACGGATATATTAAGTAAGAGACATTTTAAAACAAAACCACCCTCAGTAACCTTATCGTAAGCCCGAATCCACAACCCATCTGCTAACTCCCAGCGCTGCCCACATAGGCTCCCATCAGGCGCGGGTGCCGGGGATTTTCGGAACGTTTCGCCCCAAATCGCCGTGCCGGGAGGCAGCGCCCCGGGAAGGTGCCGCCGCGGGAACCCGATCCCTTCAGCACGCCCTCGGGAGCAAGCTGCGAACCCTTGCCTTTTCGTGCGTCTGTAAATAACTCCAAATCCCCGCGGGACGCGAGCTGCTGCTATCCTGTGACACTCAGCCCCTCCGAGACAAGCCTCCGGAGGCCTGCTGCTCTCCTCGTGGCTTTAGAAAATTAAAGCCTTTTTCAACGTTTCGCCGCTGTCCCTAATCGCGCGCGCGCTGCGGAGGAACCCTCCACGTCGAAATAATTCAGCAACAAAATCGAGACGGCAAATTGATGATTGCATCAGCCCCAGCTTATGAAAGCTGATCCTCGGGAAAATGTAATTCAACGCTCGGCAATCTAACTTGATGCCCAAGAATGCGATGGCTTCGCTCGGGTCCTCTTTTTAGGGGGACTCCTAAATCCTTGGCAACTTCCCTTAAGGTCATGAGTAAATCCCGATATGGAGGATTGTTTGGCAAGCAGGAGAACAGTAAAAGGGCTAAATAATTGGGGATTACCTCTGACCCTGATTTGTAGCTCACCACCCACTGCAGGAATGTACCGAATATCTGAAAGAGCGTGCAGGACTCAGACAATCCATGGGCATGAAGCTGTCCACGTACAGGGAGTCTGAACTTAAAATGCAGAGCAGGTTGGCCCCAAGCCTCATTTTTCATCAGCAATCAGCTGCAGCGAGCTCTGATTATTCCTCTTGCCTCGGACAGAGGGTCAGCGATGGGACAGATTATAAATTGCACACAATTTTGTCCCCCGTTTGTTTGGCAAACAGCAGCTGGGGTCTTGGGGGCAGAAAGAGGATGAAGCACCCGATCCCCCCCCCATTATTTCTGATGGTGACCGTCCCCTGTGCTGCAGGAGGGGACAAACACAGCAGCTCCAGCTTTCTGATGGTTATCACTGAGCTTGCCGAGTGCCTGTACGCACGACCAGCCCCGCTGTGAGCCCTCAGCCCGGGGCTGTGACCCTGCCCCTCTGCGCTTTTTTGGGGGCAGGCGAGCCCCCTCCTCTGCGGCAGCGCTGCTCCGGGCATGCAGCACCACGGCAGCCCCTGGGGATCCCAGAGCCAGCGCCAGGTCTGCAGGCTCAGACCAAAATCCCAAAAAGTGCTGGGGCTGCCTGGGGCACCCCCAGCCTCCTCTGGGCTCTGAGCTCCATCGTTAGCTGCGCGTGTTGCCGCTGGGAGCTTGGAAGGAGTTTAGGAGGTGGTTGGGTTTTTTTATTATTAAAAAAAAAAACTCCCATTTACAGCCAGCAGATTTCTGCAAGGCTCTAATTTCTCCTGGGATTCCTGCCGGTAACGACAGGCACCTTCCGAGGCCGGTGAGCCTGGAAAGGGCTGCCTCCAGCTCCGGTATCCAGCCTCTTGCTGCTCTCACGTAACAGCTGCTGACCTCAGATTCCTCCCTACGTGGAGCAGCCCAGGACCCGGGCGATAAGAGAGGCAGCGCGCTGAAGTTCTGCCATTCCCTTATCTCGCTCCCTGCGCCTTTTATCTGATGAGCTTGCCTCCACTTGCTCGGCGCTCGGCAGGGAAAAATGACCGTAGCCCTTCGGGAGGAGAGGTTTGCTTTGGCAGGTACACGCCACCGCAGCCGCGCTCGGCGCTTTTGCAACAGCTGGCACCCAGCAGCCGGGGGATGCTGTGCAGGAGGGGCGACCCCCCCCGAAGGGGAACCCCCCCCCCCACGCTGGGGGAAGCCCCCCGAGCCCCCCCCCCGACCCCCTCCAGCCGAGCCCCCCGCGGCGGCTGCGCGTCCCCATCGCCCCTCCGCCTTTTGGGGTGCCTCCAAAGGAAGGGCGGGGGGTGGAAAATCCCAAATCCCCGAGGGCAATAAGATGAGTGCGGGGGGGGGGGGATGCTCGGTGGGCACCCCCCTTTCCACCACCGTGCCCCCAGGGCCGGCGGGGCAGCACCGGAGGCGTCCCGGGGCGCGGTGCGCTCCGTCGGGGCCGCCGTGCGCCGCAGGATCCGAGCCCGTGCGCCCCGGGGGCGGCTCCTGCTGCCCCCCCCCGGCACGTTGCGAGGCGGCGGCGGCTCTGCCTCCACGTGAGGCTCATGTGATGGGGACGGGGGGGAGGACGGGGAGAGGACGGGGAGGGGGGGGGCGGCCCGGCGCGCCCGCCCCGGCGGCCGCCAGACGTGCCGGGAGTCACAGGGTAGCGCACGTCGCCGCCGTCCACCCACTCGCCCGCATTTAACCCGGGCCGCCGCCTCCCGGAGCTCCTCAGCCGGCGCGGACACGGCATGAGCAGCCCGGCCTGAGCTCTGCTCTGCCCGAAGCTCTTTTCCTAGCCCCCCCCTTTCCCCCCCCACCCCTCCCCTTTACCCCGGCTCGGCTCCGCACCGCGCAGGATGGAGCGCATCCCCAGCGCGCAGCCCCCGCCCGCCTGCCTGGGCAAGCTGCCCGCCCTGGAGAGCGGCGACGTGCCGGGGTAAGGGCTGCGGGCTCGGGGGGAGGAGGAGGAGAAGGAGAAGGAGAGGAGAGGAGCGAAGGAGAGGAGCCCCCTCCCCTCCCCGACCCCCCAGCCGCGGCCCCCGGGGGTAACCTGGCTGCTTTCGTTTCGCCCGTGCAGGCTGGACTTCGCGCACATGTACCAAGTGTACAAGCCCAGGAGGGGGCTGAAGCGCAGCGAGGACACCAAGGTAAGGCGCGGGGGACCCCCGGGCTGCCCCCAGCCCCGTCCCGACGGCTCTCGGGAACCTGGGGAGGGGGTGAGGGACGCGCACAAAGCCCCCCCCCGGAGCCCGGAGCCCGGCGGGCGCCGCGGGGTGGCCGTGCGGAGCGCTCACCCGGCACCGCTCCCCGCAGGAGACCTACAAGCTGCCCCACAGGCTCATCGAGAAGAAGCGGCGCGACCGCATCAACGAGTGCATCGCCCAGCTCAAGGACCTGCTGCCCGAGCACCTCAAGCTCACGGTGGGTGCCGCCGGGACCCGCTCCCCCTTCCCCAGCTCCCTCCTGCCCGCCGCGCACCCCGGCACCGCCACCCCGGGGGCGCACGGACCGGGGCTGCTCCTGCTCCTGCCTCTGCTCCTGCTCCTGCTCTTGCTCCTGGAGCCCCCACAGCCCCCACAGCCCCGCACAGCCCCGCAGAGCCCCGGCCCGGGGGGGTGGCGGTGCCGGGGGTGCCACGCACAGAGGGGGACTCGCTTCTCTGCGCCCCCCCAGGCGCTCCGAAAATCCCCGTGCGGCGCACTGACAGCCGCCCCGGGCTGCCTCGCAGCTGCCTGCCGCAGGGTGCCCTGCACGGAGAGCGTGCCCGGGGCTGCCGGGGGGCAGCGGGGATCCCCCGGGCACGGGGCTGGCCCCGAGCCTCTGCCCCAAAGTGCATCACCCCATCCCCTGCTGCCCACCTCCCCATCCCCTGCTGCCCACATCTCCTTCCTCTGCTGCCCTCCACCTCATCCCCTGCCACCCACTGCCCTGTCCCACACCACCCATTGCCCCTTTCTTCCCCCCCACCCTCTCCCTTGCTCCCCTGTCACCCCGTCCTTGCCCCGCCGCCCCGGACACGCTGGCAGCCCCATCAGGCCCTGGGTGCGCAGCCGAGCGGCAGCGGGTGCCAACCTGTCCCTTTGCTTGCAGACCCTGGGTCACCTGGAGAAGGCTGTGGTTCTCGAGCTTACCTTGAAGCATGTGAAAGCGCTAACCAACCTCATCGAGCAGCAGCAGCAGAAAATAATTGCTTTACAGAACGGTTTACAAGCGGGTGAGTAGTCACACCGTGCCGGTGCGCGCTCGGTGACTTTCTGCCGGGTCTCTGGGAGGCAGTGGTGGCACCTCGCTCCCGAGAAGGGAGGAGGCAGGACCCACTTCTTGTATTCGCCTTCATTTTCTCTGCCTTTGCTTGTGAGCTTGCGCAAAAAAAAAAAAAAGATGGGTTTCTCAGTGTGGTCAGTCTCAAGTGCACTGTGCAGTTGTTTTAAAATTAAAGTGGGTTTTAAGTAGTTTTATTTAAAGCTGGGGTTTGCTGTGAGGTTCTCTCCAAAGCCATTCAGATCTTTACATTCACGTTCAAGAGCTTTGGATCGAGTCCAGTTGCGTTTCTTTGCTTTCTCTCAAAATGCACAGAGACCTGCTCTATGAGCACCTTTGCAGGTCTCTGTCAGCTCGCTGCCTGTGCTCTGCAGGCGAAGGGGGGACCCGGTGTGGCAGCTTATCGTGCTTCAGCTGTACTTCCTCCTTCTGTTTTCACATGTGGCGCTCACGTGAATCTGATAAGTAAAATTTAGCTTTTCTGAGGAGCCTTCCCCGGCTCTGCCAGCCTCGGGGAGTGCAGCAGAGCTTTGAGCACAGCCCCTGGAGCGGGATCGCCCGGGGCCGCTGCTCTGGAGCTTTCCTGCCCGCACAGCGGGCGCCGTGCGGCCGCTGCCTCCCCCCTGCCGGTTCCCAGGGCTCATGCAGGCAGCGCAGAATTGGAAGTGCGTATGTGAAAGTGGGCAGAGGGAGGGAGAAGCGGTAAACCGGCTTCTTGTGCAGAAATGAATGCAGGATTCAGGCTGGCCGTCACGTCTGCCTCGCTCCCTGTGTGGCACCCAAAGTTTGGCATCGCCCCCGGCGCGCCTTGGAGCTGGGAATGGAACTATTTAAGCACGCTGTTAATTTTTAATTTCTCTCTTGTTAATGTTTCCTCAGGTGACCTGTCATCAAGAAACCTTGATTCCAGCCAGGAAATGTTTCGATCCGGCTTCCAGATGTGTGCCAAGGAAATGCTGCAATACCTGGCAAAGCACGAGAACGGCAAGGAGCTGAAGTCGTCGCAGCTGGTCAGCCATCTGCACCGCATGGCCACCGAGGTGCTCCAGGGCGGAGCCGGCCGAAAGGCCGCAGACATCCCTCCTAAAATGGTGGACTTGAAAGAGAAACCCGTCTCCTTGAGCAAAGCGGCCGAGGGGCACGGGAAGAACTGCGTGCCCGTGATCCAGAGGACATTTGCGCACTCCAGCGGGGAGCAGAGCGGCAGCGACACAGACACAGACAGCGGGTACGGGGGCGAGCTGGAGAAAAGTGACTCCAAATCCGAACAGCAGTATTTTAAAAAGGATACCGATCTGAAATACGCTGTCCAGGAGAGAATAAGCTCTATTAAGCAAGAGACTGAGGACCCGCCGGCCAAAAGGAGCAGGCTGGAGACGCCTGAAGACGAAGGGCCTTTTGGCAGTGACATGATGGGCTCCTCGAACGGCTTCCTGGGCCCCCACGCTCACCAGCCCCCGCTGTGCCTGCCTTTTTATTTGATCCCGCCATCCGCAACGGCCTACCTGCCGATGCTGGAGAAGTGCTGGTACCCAGCCTCCGTCCCCGTCCTGTACCCCAGCCTCCCGGCCTCCGCCGCAGCGCTCACGGGGTTCATGAACCCCGACAAAATCTCCCCCCCTCTGCTGATGCCCCAGAGACTCCCTTCCCCGGTACCAGCCCATTCCCCCATCGACTCCTCGGCCCTGCTTCAAGCTTTGAAGCAGATTCCTCCGTTGAACTTGGAAACCAAAGACTGAGCGCAGCGTGACCTTTCATTTTTCTGTTGTTGGTTTCTTTTTTTTTTAGTTTGAGACTGTTTCACTTTTGTACATTGGCTGGACTGAGGTGTGGGGATAAGGTTCACCGCGCGTAGGAAGCTAAATCCCCTTTTCTCTGACTTGTCAGGTAGCTTGGAGAAGGATGAAGGATGCACCCGGGTTAGCTATTCAGAACGACTTCCAAAAGGACAGAAAGAAAAAAAAAAAAAAAAGGGTTTTATGCTTTACCCCTTAACTTCTTCCCTCTCCGCACCCGCAGAACAACAGCTGACTCTGTCAGCTGCGATGACGTTTCAAAGCTGTGAAAAAAAAAAACAAAACAATTCCATTCGGCAGATCTAGGTTTTGGGGTCTGTGGCTCTCAAACCATGGTACTTCTCGCAAGGGCTTTTAGCGCAGCGGCCCCGCAGGAGCCCGGGCCGTGGTGGTGCCCGGCTGGCGGCGCGCTCGGTGCCGGTGCTGCTGCTCGGTCCCTGCACGTGCCGGAGGAGCAGCGCGGCGGTCGCTGGCGGGTCGTGCACAGTCAGTGGTTCAGGTAGATTTAAGACGGGTTTCTCTCCACACCTTTGCTGATATATATATATATATATATATATTTTTAATAAATAAAAGGTAGATGCTGCTTGGAAGCTTTACATGGCGTACATCTAAAAAAAATAAATTAACACGCGCCCCTTCCTGTAACTTGAGCTGCTAGTTTGGGCCGGGCAGGGGAGAAAATATCCCAAGGATCGCTTTGCTTGCTGCACCTGACTCGGGGCCTCTCCCGCTGCCGGCCTGCCCCTGCGGCCGGCCTTTGGGGTCGGGGGCGCAGCGGGGCAGGTCGGGAGCGGGGTGCAGGGGTCGGTGCTGCCCGCCGGCCCTGCCCCGCCAGTGCCTTTGAGAAGCGAAGGGCTGGGGTTTGCGAAGGAGCCGAACCCGGCGGGGTCTGAGCATCCACGTTCCTCAGCCTCCTTGGCAAACCCCGGCCCACATTTCCGCATTAAACAGAGGGTTAGGGCTGTGACACTTGTCCCCTTCAATCCTAGAGCTGCAGGGGTCTTTCACCGCAGGCAAACACCGTGTCCAGTTTGGCTTTTTTGTTAAAAAACAAACAAACTTCACTGCAGAGTGCAGTGCTCTACTCTTTTTTTTTTTTTTTTTTACTTTTTTTTTTTTTTTCCTTACTGGTTTTGAGAACTGGTATCCGGAACAACTGTTGTATGGATTTTCATTTCATCCTCCCGTTGCACCAGCTGTTGAGATGCACTATGCTTGATTGCAGGTTGTGTTCTAACGTTTATTTTGTTGTTTTTTTTTTTTTTTTGTTCTTTTATTTTTTTGGTATACAGTTGTTGCCTTTATTTGTAAAATCCTGTTATAAATATATATATATTATATAAATATATTAAAAGGTAAAACGTTTCAGATGTCTATTATTTGTATAACTACTTGAGCATAAAAGAAGTGAGAAATATGAATGTATTCTTGTTTCTGGGTTGTCTTTTTTTTTTTTTTGAAGAGAAAGAGTTTTTTGTTTTTCTCTAGGGAGAGGTACAGTGTTTATATTTTGGAGCCTTCTTCAAGGTGGGATATTGTACATATTTTTATCTCGAGTAAATGTTAAGTAGTTGTTTAAAAATACTTAATAAAATAATTCTTTTCCTGTGGAAGATAAGGGTTGGCCTCCTGTGCTTTGAAATATTTGATCCGGGTCATTTTGCAGGGCTCGATCCAGCAATGACCGGCAGCAGGACGGGGTCCCACAAGGGACCCGGGCTCCCCGTGCTCCTCGGGCCGGTCCTTGGCAGCGGGTGCCCGTGTCACCGCTCGTGTCACCGGGGATATTCAGTCCCTGAACTCCGTCAGCACCATCGGGGATCGCCTCCCTTACCGCTTCCAGTCCTGGGCCAGGTGAGCCCGGCCGCCTTGGCGCCTTCCCCCCGTTGGTTTCTCCCAGGTATGGGACAAAGCAAGCTGCCAAGCTGCCTCCCGAAATTGCCTCCGCTCCCCAGCCCTGGCGCTGCTCCCCTCTCCTGCCTCCCGTGCCCCATCGCCACGTCTCGGAGCCCTTTGGGGCAGGTTCATGGGGTGTCACCGCGGGTCACCACAGTCCCAGCCCCGTGCTGGCTGCTGGCTGCCGACCCCTGGGGCTGTGGAGCAGCGCTGAGCCCCGGGCAGCTCCGGTCAGGCCCGGGATGATGCCGTGCAGAGGCAGGGAGGAGCAGCTTGGTGCCAGCAGCAGCTGTGTTGGCTGGAGCCCCTCAGCCAGGATCACATCCAGGGTCTGCAGCGAGCCCAAATCCTCGGTGTGTGGGTGCAGGGATGTGCCGGGGGGGCCCCCCCTGGCTGGCAAGGGGCTGGGGTCACCCCTTCTGCACAGCTCCTGGGCCGGGTAAATCCCCGGCTGCCTCTGCCTCGGGCACATGGGGACGAGCAGGAGCCTCGGCCCTGTTCCCCAGCACGCTGCCGCCCGGCTCCCTCGGTGCCAAGGGAGTCGCCGGCCGTGCCCGTTTGGGCTCCCTTTTAATTGGCCTCGTAGCCGCGGGCGAGAGCCCGGTGCACGTTCGCCGAGGCTGCTGCAGAGCAGGTCGGGAGCCACACCATGCACCCGGCAGCGGCTCCGGGCAGCGCCTCGTCCCGCGGAGAGGCACCGAACCTCTCCCATGGGCAAGGCCTGGGGGCTGCCGGGCTGGCACCAGAGCTTTGTCCCGGTGAAGACAGGTGAAGGAGCTCGGCCCCGTCTCCTCGTGCCTGCCCTGGGTCCGTGAGGAGGCTTTGGGCTCTGCTTCTCGGCTCCTCCTGCCCTGGGAGGCTGCGGTGCAGGGGCTCAGAGCCCCTCCAGCGGGGCAGATGGGGTTAACCGCTGCGTGCCACCGTGGCCTTCGGTGGCCTCCCCTCTTTGTGCCGCTCACGGGCACTGGGAATCTTTAATAATTTACCCCGAGCAGACGGGGACGTGCGCACATGAGCACAGCGCGTGGGCACCTGGCTGGCGCTTCTGGGTTTCGCAGGGCAGGAGTCCCAAAACCTGGCGGGCGGTGAGGGGCCGGAGCGGGCCAGTGCTGAGCCGTCCCCGCACCCCCGAGCCCCCCGAGGTTGGCACGGCACGGCACACGGGGCTGCCCAGCATGTGCCGGGGGACTCCACACGCCCCGGCGCTTGTGTTTGCTTTAATTACAGCTAAATATTGATCCCGCTGAAGGCAACTGCACTTAACCCCCTTTTGGGGACAGCGCTCGGCGCTCGGCACAGTCACGTTTCGGCTCCTCGTTAGCTGCTGGATTCCCGGCTCCTTTCCACAGCCCTCACCCCGCTTCGCTCTCCGTCTTCTGGCCCACCTCAGCCGCGGGTGGGAGGGCGCGCGGGAGCCTCAGAAACCCAGTGACGGAGGAAAGAGCTGTAAAAAAACAAGTGGAAGAGATAACATTGGTACAGGAAGCCAGCGCTAATTACAGGCTGGGTATTTTCTCGCCGGCGTGGCGCGGCGCCAGGCGGACAGGTGAAGCTGCCGGGGCACAGCAGCCCTTGTCTGCTCCCCGTGGGGCTGGGGGCTCTGTGCCCCTCGCCGGGGCTGCCCGGCTCCTCCGGCAGCTCCCCAATCCCTGTGGGGCCGGGCAGGGCCGGGAAGGGGCCGGGGGAGCCACGGGGCTGTGGGGAGACCCCGACCCCGACCCCATCCCCGTCCCCGGCGGCATCGCGCCAAGGTGCCCGCAGCCCGTGGCGGGCCGTGCCGAGTTCCCCTGCCTTGTTTTCATGGTCTCACCCAGCTCTGACCTGCCTCAAATGTTGACACAATGTCACGTTTCCGACTGCAGTCTTTCATGTGCAGCCGGA